GGTCGAGAGACCACTATGACAGTTGCTGTAAGCTTATAGAACATACTCATGGAAAAATGCTGACAATGATTCTTCAAATGTTGGTCCAGCTGTATCCCTCAATCAATATTTTGTTTATTACCACCTTGATTTTTTTTCTGCCCTGATAACAACCCCCCCCCACAAAAAATAATGTTTTGCCCTGATCACCTATGAACAACTTGGCCAACTTCAAAGGGGTCACCCAAAATCAGAAGATAAGGCCCCCACTCTCTGACGGGCTACCCTATGTTGGTGTGTGTGCTCCTCAGTTGTACATGGGTCCCTATTTCTTCTCTCCCTTTCTCTTTCTTCCCCATTGCTGGCAATAGAGCTTTGCATTGAACTGACTCCCACTGTTTCACATTGTTCTTCTAAGCACCTGAACTCTGTTAAGGGGTTGGATGCCCCTGGGGTCTCTGACTGGCCTCTGCTTAGACTTAGACTGGGTACCCGGACAAGGACTTAAGCTGTAGACAGCATATGTAGGACACTATAGGCCCAGTTGGAGAAAGCAAGGGTCAATAGGGGGACCTTACATTCTTCTAGGAGAGACTCTCTTATGCCATAGGATTCTCTCAAAACATTACTCTATTTCACCAGAAGAGAATCTCAGGATCTAATGGGGGGGGGGAGAACCTGTGACCTCAAAGCCACATGTGACCATCTAGGTCCTCAAGTGAGGCCCTTTGACTGAATCCAAACTTCACAGAACAAATCCCCTTAATAAAAGGATTTGTTGGGGATGGAGCGGAGCCAAGATGGCGGAGCAAAAGCAGTGACTTGCTTGAGTTCTCCCCCAAGCCCCTCCAAATACTTGTAAAAAAAATGACTCTAAATAAAAGGATTTGTTCAGCAAAACTTGGACTCAGTCAAAAGGCAGCATCCGAGGACCTAGAAGGTCACATGTGGCCTCAAGGCCGCAGGTCCCCCACCCCTGAACTAAATGCAGGTTGGAGAGGTCACAGAGACATCCCACATTGCTCATCTCAGTGGGGCTAGCTTCACACACATATCAGGCCTTTACTGGCATTTCCAGTTCCTCCTTCCTGCTTCATTCATTCATTCAATCATTCAACAAGCACTGGTCAGATACAGAGCTGTGCTGGATTTTGGGTAGTCTCAATGGTTCTATGAGCCCTGGAGGCTACCATCCTAGAGTTCATAAAGAGCACAGCCACAACCAGTGACTGGTTTGTCCTGGGACAATTTACCCCAGGACAGAGAATTTAAAGGTCTGCTGACGCTATTTATATTCTCCAAAGGAAAAAGGTTTGGTAGGGAGAGGAGAGCCAAGTTATTCAATTTCAACAATCTGTCTAAAAGAGCATTGGACTGAGTCAGAACGGGAATGGAAAGGGGACGGGCATTTATTAAGCACCTACTATGTACCAGGCAAGGTGCTAAGCATTTTATAAATATCATCTCATTAGATACTCACAACCCTGGGAGGTAGGTACTATTATTAGCCCCATTTTACAGTTGAGGAACCTAAGGCAGATAATGGTAAAGTGATTTGCTCAGGACCACCCAGTTAATAAGTGTTTAAGGCAAGATTTGAACTCAGACCTTCCTGACCTGAGGCCCAGCCTGGGTTCTGGTGCCAATCCTCACACTACCTCTGGACCTCTCTAGAATGAAGAAATTGGACAAAGTGGCCCTAAGGTCCTTTCTCTGAATTTGTAAGAATACGAGCTCCTAAGGTTAGGAATGTCTCATTGTTGTTTTTATATCTCCAGCCACTAGCACAGTGTCTGACAGATTGTTCATAATTAATAAATGCTTATTGAATGAGTCTATGAGTTGGGGCTCCATTTGACTCCACCTTAGTTCAGTGTCAGTTTCAATAAAAATTGAATGGGCTTTTCTCTGGGATCTTGGATAAGTCATTTCTCTTCTCTAAAATCTCAATTTCCTCCTCTTCAAAAAATAAAAATGATTAGCAGTCTCTTCCTGCTCTAACATGATACTTGGAGAGTTTTGACAGAGTTGACTGCAAGCCCTCTTCCACTCTCCTCCCCCAAAACATCTGTATCTTGGCTGTCAGGGTTACCCGCACCCACCCCTATCCTCAGGTATTTGTGTAACCAAGAACTCAAATTTCCATTCATTTTCTCAGATGTGAATGTGAAGAAACTGCCTTTCATAGCTCCTAGTTACCAAACATAATTAGTTAAATAGGGAGCTATGAAATGGTCCCCCTACCTCTAAAGGGAAGGGGAAAGGTAACTTCCCAAGTACCAGCCTTGTTGTGTCCCAAAGTCTTTGCCATTCCACAATAGAGTGTCTCTTCCTCTGCCCCCACATAGATAGAAACATATATGGAAGAATATTTTCAACCAAGAGGACCAGCAAAGGTTTCTTCCTGGTGGAAGGAGCACCTGAATTGCCTAATAGGCAAAGAGGAGGAAATCTCCTTCATTCCCATCTCCATTCTGAAGCTACTTTTCTCTCATCCAGGAGCATAATCACATTAGGACATTTGTTGCCCTATGTTGAGGCATGGCAAAGTACAACCACGTTTTTTGGACTGGATCTGTGTTTTTGGTTGCTAAAGAAAACTCTTGATAAGGGAACTAACTCCCTCTGCCAATACAGAGAAGCAACTGACGTGCAATTTCTACTCTTAGAGTTGCCCAGGGTCACAGATCCAGCATGCGTCAGAAGTAGAACTCAGATCTCAGGCCATTCTGACTCCAAGGTCAGCTCACTATAGACAACTCCATGCTGCCTCTTTTTGTATCAATTAAGCTTCTGTAATAAATGATGATTGGAGTAGCTAGGTGGCTCAGTGCATAGAGCACCAGCCATCGAGTCAGAAAGACATGAGTTCAAATCTGACCTCAGACACTTGTTATCTGCGTGACCCTGGGCAAGTCACTTAACTCTGTTTGCCTCAGTTTCCTCATCTGTACAATGAGCTGGAGAAGGAAATGACAAACCACAACACTATCTCTGCCAAGAAAACCCCAAATAGGGTCACAAAGAATTGGACACACCTGAAACAACTGAGTAATAAATGATGATAAATCAAAGTCAGTCTACCTTTTTCTGTTCCCCACTTTTCACTTCTTACACATGTGTTTAATCAATATTTTATTGAATTGAACTAAATTAAATTGAATTTGGGAACATCCAGGCCTCAATTAAAACTTCTCCTCCTCACCCATAGTTATATCTTTATGTGCCTCCTAGCCCCATTTACACACTCCCTTGGGTACTGAGAAAATAAGGTTCTTTCTGTCAGGGCCCTAGTTGCTGTTCAGTCGTTTTTTCAGTTGTATCTGACTCTTTATCACCCCATTTGGAGTTTTCTGGGTAAAGATACTAGAGTGGTTTGCCATTTCCTTCCCCAGCTCATTTGACAGATGAGGAAATTGAGGCAAACAGGGTTAAGTGACTTGTCCAAGGTCACACAGCTAACAAGTGTCTGAGGCCAGATTTGAATTCTGGAAGATGAGTTTCCCCACTCCAGGCCCAGTGCTCTATCTACTGTGCCACCTAGCTGCCATATCAGGGTCCTAGGTCTACCCCCTTAATTCCATATTGTTATTTATTTATTTTGCTTTTTGGTGAGGCAGTTGGGGTTAAGTGACTTGCCCAGGGTCACACAGCTAGTAAGTGTCATGTGTCTGAGACTGGATTTGAACTCATGTCCTCCTGACTTCAAGGCCAGAACTCTATCCATTGCGCCACCTAGCTGCCCCCCTTAATTCCATATTGAAACTGTCTCTCTATCCCTCCCCCCAGCTCCTGCCTCCCAGTGATTTCACTCCTGACTCAGGAGCTTTCTTGGATTCGGTCCATAGACATTTTCCAGACTAGCTTTCCAAACACACAGTTCCCTTGAGACCCCAGAGTCTCTGAGTTGCCCAAGCCCGAGAGCCCTTCCTCATGCTTTCTGAACCTCACCATTCCCTTAAAGCCCCAACTTTCTTCCCAATGCCCCCTACCAATGTTTCCAGCTCATCTGGGTAGCACCATCTCATTCTCCAAATACTATTGTCTGATCAGTCAGATATTTATTCTCGTCTCCATTTCCATTGCTACCTGCCTAAACTATTATGATCACCTCCTCACAAGTCTTTCCAACTCCACTCTTTTCCCTTTCATCCAATCTATCCTTCTTACAGCTCCCAGAATAATCTTCTTTACGCACAGATCTGGCCATAGTCACTCCTCTATTAAAATATTTTTAATGGCTCCCCATTATCTATCAAATAAGGTCCAAGTTCCTTTGCCAGATATTCAAACTCCCTCCCCTCTCAATCAAACAGCATCTTCACAGCCCGTGACCATTGGAATTTCTCTAATCTTAACCCAGACTGTGATCATTCTCAATCCATATGGGATTTGGGAAGGCAAAGTCTCTCTCTCTCTCTCTCTCTCTCTCTCTCCTTCTTCTTCTTTACCCCACGAATTCCTCCCCCACAACATAACCCACCTCCTCTAGGTAACATTTGGGCTTTACACGAACCGAGTTAAAAGAAGCCAGTGCCTAGGAATAGCTCTGGAGGAGATAGAAAGTGGTTTAGTTGTCTTCTCCAGCTTCGGGAATACTGAACCCTTTCTTGTATAAATTCTTCATGTGTCCATCTATAAGCACAGATGGATCTGGGCTCTCACTGTGCTGAGAACAGTGTCTGGAGCATAGCAGATGCCTAATAATTGCTGTCTGTGACTCTCTGTGTCTCTATGGGTCTCTCCCTCTCTCCCTTTCTCTTTCTCTTTTCCTCCTTCCTTCTTCCTC